CTCTCCACCGTATTCCACTGATTCACGTCATGGACGGCGCACACAACAGTTCTGTTTTATGGGAGGAGAGGGTAAGGAGAGTTTCGCTTTTATTTGAGTCAAGAGGTTTTTCATCAGGATTAATGATTTTAATTAGCTCAGTTTCACACGTGTACTCGGTTAGAACGGCAAATAAGCCACGTGTTGTAAACTCACGTGTCCACAGTTCGTTGATCTGAACGTTTCACAACTTAGGTGACATATTGAACTAATGAAACCCCTCAGTTGATAACAATAATTTCCTTATGCAGCGGACAGTGAAAATAACTAAAAAAAAACAATAAAGAGTCAGTTAGTTCTCGGACTGAATTTGCTGAAGTGACTGTGAAGTGAATCAAATCAGAATCGCTATGTTTACTTACAACACCGGATATATCAGGTCTTAAAGAGCATGGTGGTAAAAGGTTAAACGTAAGTGAGTAAACCAAACTAACAAAGTGTGTAACAAATTAATTCAACAGTGCTGTTTCAATGGTAAAACGTCAGTAGGTATTTCAAGGTGTTCTTACTAAAAAGCCTGAATCGTGGTTTATTTTGCTTATATTTATTTCGCAATCGTTTCTTGACGTTTTAGATCTTACTTAAATGACAGTTATGGTGCAATTAATCTTTTCGGAGATTTGGCACATTAATAAAGGCATCCGATCCAATAATCTCTCATTTAGTAATAGTTTTAACCCCATTAGTAGATCACCTGTCAGCCACTGATTTTAATTAGCTATTCTTTTATTTCAGTTTTCAGTTCACATAGTTATTTTTTTTTAATCCATGAAGACTAACTGGAGATTACTTCTGTCAGTGAAACTTTCACGAACAATATTTTAAATTCAGAACATTCCCGCTTAAATAAGTCATTCTTGTTTATTTTGTTTATTTATTTACAATCGACACCTTTATTGGCTACAATTACTCAATGCTTAAAAAAATGTCTTCCGGCGATGAAGCGTGCTTGATTTCACGCGCAACCATGATGCCGGAGAGCTCTTTTGCTCACATGACAACGGGCGTTTTTCAAAATATTTTCTTTCCCTACTTTTCTCTTACTCTTGTTCACTAACCCAAAAAGGAAGGGGATCGATCGTGTTTGAGAAAAAAATGAGTCTGAAGTATTTACACAGATAAATAGTAAATACCGGGGTATAAAAGTTATATACAACTCTGTTATCTATTATATATTTACATTTCTTTGGCACTTAACTTGAAAATAAAAAAGTTCTATACGGAAATGGTTTCGCCAGTATTTCAACATACATGAATGAAATATTTGGGTGGTTCTTCCAAGGGTAAGAAGAACTTGCTAACAGAACTTCTCGGGTTTCGTGATTCCTGAGGTTTCAAGTTAATCCCTCAGTGTAAAATCCTGTACTGAATCGTCACGCAGTAAATAATATCTCATCCTGTGAATAGATTTCACATAGTTCCAAAATTCAAGTCTTTCCGAGCCAGCCATACGTTTTTCAATAATTGTTCAAGAAACCAAAACTTGATTCAATCGCTCTTCAAAAAATGTCTTTTCTTCTTCTTCTTCAAAGCACTGCAAAACCCAACGCATGGTCGACAGAGTTGATGATGTCGCGGGTACTGTTGTAGACAGTGATCTGTCGAGTTTTTTCGGCTGTTTAAAAGTTGCTGCTGTTTCTCTGAGGGCTGTGGCTGGAGCACTCCCTCGCCTTCGCTGAAGATTTATTTTCTCTCTTCGCTTTTTTGTGTCCTGTTGGATCTCCTTGAGATTCTGAAAGATCTCACTCAAAGCCTGGTTCATGGCCTGTTCGTAATTCACTCCTTCCGCCTGGCAATGGTATTGCTGTCCTTGACCGTTATTCACCATTGCAAATTAAATTAAGGCAAGCTCAAAAAAGTGGAGTTAGGTCCTCGAACGTCAATAGTTGGAACTGTGCCGCGTGATGAAGACGGTCTTGTTATAAACGGGTCTGATGTACTCTTGACTTAATCCTCTAGTTCTTATTAAATAACCAATGAACGCCTCGTTGCGCTTTCACAAAAGGTCTTAAGTCACGGAATACAGCGTTTAGGTTGTTTTAACGTGATTTTAACAACTAAGATCAACTAACACGTGAGCTCAACTGGAAATAAGGCTTGATTGTTTCGGCAATGTTTCATTGTGTTCAGCACCTCATTTGAAACAATTTTTGTTTCGAATCGTGGCCTTTGCGTGAAAAATGATGACAAGGTCAGATCCCTGCCTTGCCTGTCTTGTGGACGGTGTATATAACATTTTGCTGAGAAAGATCACATACAAGTTTTTTTTTTTTTTTTTTTTTTTCCGACCACCTGCTCGGATTTAAAATATCCACTTTCTAAATCCTCGACGGTCCAAGCTTGTGCTAACGTGGCAGTACTACGTCACGAAAATTTCTAATCGTCTTAATTTTCACGTGAATCTTCCTTCCCCTGTTGTAGTCACAATGCTCATTTTGGGCTAATGCATGGAACAGCCTCGCGGCTCTGGCCCGCGCCTCTGGGTAGCGCGGAGAAGGGAGAGTTCAGAGCAGGGCGGAAAAAGGCCGTACATATAAGCGCCCTCGGCAACCTCCTTCCCAGAGTCCCCTCTCTCGGGGAAGAGAGAGGACCCTGGGAACGAGATTTCTACCATTTTGATGAAATGGTGCTGACCACTGGAGCCTGCAATTTTCAACATGGCGGACGAGTCGACCCAAGGAACGTGCGATGAACTGTACAATCAAAAGATTGCTCATGGTCGAGTAGATTATGTTCGTGAAGAATACAAGCGTTATAAACGAAAGAAACCTCCTCCTGACTTGAGTGAAGTTATTGACTTCCAAGATCCGTCCACATTTGGTGAGCGTATTCAGAAAGTCGAGCTGAACGAAAGCAAATATCATTCGAAGTTCGGACTTCGTTGTGTCTCAGAATGGCGGATGTACGAGCTAAAAACTTGTCCAGGGTTTATGTTTATAGTGAATCCTTTTTCACCTGGGGCACAGCAGTACTGGACTCGGCGTTGCATGGAAGATTTTCCACGTAAACCAAACGTGTGTAACTTGGACGCCCACGTGAAGTTAGACCCGGAGAAGTCTGTGTGGGAACTTAGTCACGGGTAAGAACTTCTTACGTGCCTGGTGATAATGATCAAAAAATTTCGCCTGTTTGAATCTCTACATAATCAAGCAGCAGGTTAAGAGAATTGAGGCAATCGTCTCCTGGTTGCGCAATTCTTTCCGAGGGAGGTGGGAGGGTGGGAGGCGGCCTCTCCGTTTTGTAAACGGTCGATGCCATTTTCGCGACACTTAGAAATTTTTTTGACTATCAACGAATTTTTCTTTACTAAATTGAAGAAAAAAGAAAATTTGTAAGTAACCAAAACAAAGCTATAGAAATTTGTGAAGAGCTATAAATGCAGATTTGTCGACATAAGGTTTTGTGGAACAATAATAAACCAGGAGTTCTCCTTGAGACCTGCTAGATCCACACTGAGAGACATAAATATTGCAAAAACTGAAAATAAGAAAGGTATTAGCAAAACTTCATATTGCTTATTTACTTTGAGAAATGTTTTGACCCACAAAGGAGATTCTTGTCAAACTGAGAGTATCAAATTATTATTATTATTATTATTATATTAATATTATATAATCATATTATTATTAATATTATTATTATTATTAATGTGAGAAATATGTGTACCTATGATCATGACCACCACAACATAACATAACATAATAACATAACAGTCATAAATTTTGTTAGATTGTCAGAAATTACTAAAGAAATTTTTTTCATTCCACAGCAGTGATGAAAATAATGACCTAATGGACAGGCTGCGTTGGGTTCACCTTGGCTATCACTTTGACTACAATGTTGTTGATTACAAGCCTGAAAGGTACTATGACTTCCCATCAGACTTAGCTGGTATGGCACAACATATCGCTAATGCAATCGGTTATCCTGACTACTCCCCTGAGGCTGGCATTGTCAATTACTATCCCCTGGGGGGCTCTATGGGGGGTCACACCGATCATTATGAGTCAGATCTGTCGTGGCCATTGATTTCCTTGAGCTTTGGTCAGACAGCAATCTTTCTTATTGGTGGAGCAACCAGAGATATAAGACCAGTTGGTGAGTAAATAAAATAAATGAATGACTATTTATGAGTAGAAGTGCCATTTTTGCATCTAAATACAGCTGTAAGTCTTGTTTTTGACATAAAGAACGTATTAAGTGTTTCTTTTATTTTGTCAACTTTTTAATTTCCAACGGTTCAAATCCATCCCAACTAGAAACATTTTACTTTCAAAGAGTAAGACATCAAGACTCTATCCCACTCATCTTAGCTTAGGCTGCATACCATGACCTGGGTAATGTTATGGAGGATGCTTGAGCTGTGGATGAGAGCAAGAACACATAGCAGGGTGTGTCCATCACTCCAACTCACTCCCTATCATTACTTGAGGGTGCACTATGCATTCTGCTCACCTCTCTCCACCCCTTAGCCGTTAACCCACTTTCTTGCCAGTCCAACCTCGTTCCCAGGGTCTTTTCCCTGGCTCGGGGGTGGGGCAGGAAAAGACCCTGAGGGGCAGGAAACACCCCACTCCCAAGCCAGGGAAAAGACCCTGGGAACGAGGTTGAACTACAGTCAACTTTTGTTATAGTGGACACCCTCAGGACTGTCATTTTGGTGTCAGTAATAGCATGATTCCACAACAGCAGGGTGTGATGAAAATGACCCATTTTTGATTGTGAAGTCTCACATATAACATATACTGAGCTGCACTTTTTCAAGATTTCCAGATTCTTTTAGTTTGTAGTATACATTTACTTTGACACATACTCATAAAATATAGGTCAAAATAACAGTCTAATAGTGTACAAACTGGCAAACATTCCAAGGCTGCAGAGTAATGTCATTGAATATGGCCAAGTTGTCCATTGTAAGGAGAAGAGAAATATTAGAAATATTAGTCTGGGACCACATGAAGTGTCCAATTCCTTAACAGTCTGACTTAATAACAGTGAGAGTTGTTTCCATACATTTCTTTGTAGCTTTGATTTTTGAACCTCCAGATTTTTGAACCCATATCTGTTCCCCTAGGTGGTTTGAAAAATCGGGATTTGATTGTTTTAATTGGCTTTTTCGTCTACTTAAGAATGTAATTTTGAACAGGGACAAAACTATTCCAACGAGAAAACTTACAAACAAATTGTTATGATTTTTGCAGCTTTGTACATTCGCAGTGGTGACATTGTCATCATGTCAGGAAAATCAAGAACTGCCTTTCACGCAGTCCCGAGAATAGTCAAAGTAGGAAACGAAAATGAACCTCCACCCTGCCTTAAATGGGAAGACAGCCTCTTAACGAATGGCGTCACTTTGTCTTCAGAAGAAGACTCAGATGAATCAAGTATCCCGGATGAGAACGTGAAATTCCCGGATGTCGTGGAGAAGAAGACTGTTGCCAGCCAAAGAACGTGTGCTTCTAACGCTGAACGAAATGAGAAACCGTTGTTTCAAGAATCCTGCGATAATAAAAATACTAATAAATTTGGCGACATCAGTAGTTTGGGAAGTGAGTACATTGAAACCAGCGAAGGTTGTCAGTGTAACAAGAATGATTTTTGTGGTAAATCCATGAAAACTATCAGCTCGGACGAATGGAGGCAGTTTGAACTCTATCTTTCAAAAACACGAATTAACGTCAACGTTCGCCAGGTGCACGAGAAAGGGAAGACCATAAATTCGTTTTGTTCGTAATGTGAAATTATGAAAAGGAACACTTCATCTTTAGCGTGAACTGAAACATTCAGCTCCTAATTATCAGTGATTATTTTCGTGAAATAGCCTTCCTAAGGACACTTTTCACTGATATGGATTTTAAAAACAACACACACACAAAAGGTATTTGCCCGTTGCATTTGTTGTGACATGTAGACACATGTACACACTGTGCGCCTTTTTGTTGTTTGCTGAAGGAGATGGGCAGTATTGTTTATGTACGCGAGAGAGTTTCGTGCGAACCGCACAAGTCAGGTTTACAAATGGCCCGTTTGCAAACTTCACAATAATTTGTTCCACTTACGGTTCGCGTGTGCTAGGATTGCATTTTTACCAAAAAAATGATTTTAAAACCAAAATATAACGAGTAAAACGCGGTAATTTCAGGGTAATTAACTCAAAAAGAGACGTTTTTGTTTTAAAATAGAAGACAAATAGAATTAGGGCCAGCTGGTACGGATGGCTTTTGTTTAAACATTAAACAACCAATCAACGAAGCCAGCATTTTTTAGTAGTTTTAAAATTACCAAGTTCTGAAATAGCTGGATACACAAATAAAGATCAATAAACAGTCGGTAGTGGAAATATGAGGTTCGTAGTTAATTCCTCTTTGTTGTCTTGGTAATTGTGTATTGATAGTTCTTGATTGATATATCAACAACAGACTCGGGTTATATCAACAGTCTATCGTAGTGTAATAGCACTGGACAATAACACAACAATGGCGGCAAAGAAAATATATTCTTCTGTTCATTTTATTGTCTTAACGGAAGCTGCCCAGTTGTGCCTGCCTTTTCCGTTGTGAGCATGAGATGATACCGCTCAAAACAAAGGGACTCAATAAGAATTAACAATTCTGCTATTGTCATAGTAACAAAATTGATACGCCCCGGCTTTGGCCGACCTCGAGCCTGTTTGCATACAAATTGAACACGCGAAACGCAACTAGTTAAAAAGAGCAGATGGCTTTGAGCGAGAAAGACCGTACACTTCTCTATTTGTTTCTTCTCTGGCTGATTTATCTCATTGTTGGCGTTTTCATATTCAGAGCTGTCGAACACGATGGCGATAAAAAGCCAGATAAAACCGAAGAAGCGAAACTGGAGACGATCAAGCTCAATACTATGGCGAAGTACAACATGACTGAATCGGATTTCAACAACATTGTACAGCAAATCGAGACAGCTTCTTCGTCAAATGCAGGACCAGTATGGAACTACCACGAAGCAGTGTCTTTCGTGATTCAGTTAGTAACAACCATTGGTAAGCTAGTACTTTTAATATTCTTCTTCCTCACCCTAAATAAGCTTAATTAAACACAGACTAGTAATCCTAACCTCTGACGTGCTTCAAGCAGGAAATCGTCACTAATTATTCCCAAATACGAAAACGTTTAAACACCATGGACTTCATTTAAGACCCAGGCGAGTCTGTAGGGCGTTCATTTAGAATGACGTTATTTCTCACTATTTTCAGGAATGAAACGTGCAGTCCAAATTCACTGGAAAAAAATAATTGTACCACCGCAACGTTTCAGTGGACTCTCATCCTCTTTTACATTTCTTTTACACATTTTGTTTATTTGGGACGATCTAACCTCGAGTTTTATTTGATCCTACAACGTCACGAAATTTTCTAGCCTGCTGGCAGGGCTCCCCACAAGGAGCCTGCTCGCCGCTAGCACGCGATTTTCCCATCAACGCGATTTTTGAACGTAAAGATTGCATGACGAGACAAATGGGGAGTATTGATTATCTGTTAGGTCTCAACGTTGCGGGGATGCAAATTTTATCTTACTTTGTTTTGCTCCGGTTGGCGTGACGTCAAAACAACCTTCGAAAGTATCATGCACGCTATGTTCGTCTTCGTCACGCAACGCGCCCAAGGCAATCTGTCCTGTAACATTCAATGCCCCGGAGGGGGGGAGGGGGTACTGTACAAAGATTTATAAGGGGAGGCTTCGTCCCGGGGTCCAACCCCCTAGTATTCTTTTTGAAAGCAGTTTCCATCCCCTTTACTTAAAACAGGCGTGGTTTTGAAAACTTAGTTGATTGAGCCTGTCCAAAGGAGGAAAATAAAACAATTTTCGCGGGAAATCCCTAGGGAACCCTCAAAAATAGAAAATGGGCACAGTCCTGCCAGCCATTCAGAATCAGCTAATATTTGAAGGAGTATTTCAAAGAGAAGAGACTAACCAAGAAAATTGGCAACTTAATCATTAGTCTCTATAGCTGGCAGGAGAGCTTTGCTTTGGCGGCGGAGTCCCCAGTGAGAGCGGCGAAGCCTTGTGGAGTTGGAGTCGTCAGTTCTTTTATTACGGTTTCTCCGATCCCCGCTCGCGTCCCGGACGCAAGCCACTCGCGCGCCAGTCCAGGCCTTATATGGGGCAAGGAAGGGAGAGTTTAGAGACTGGACTACGAAATCGTAAACGGCCGGATGACGGAAAAAATCTCAGGGAGTCTTCCCAGTTGGAAGACTCTTCCTTACATCTCAGTTGTTGTGTTATTTTTCATGTAACAACCATGTTATTTTCTTTTTTCCAGGATATGGTAATATCACTCCAGTGACAACAGGCGGCAGAGTGCTTTGTATATTCTACGCCTTCTTTGGTATCCCCATCAACATTTTGTTCCTGCAGTTAGTTGGAGAAAGAATGTTGCGAGGTGAACAACATCTTGTGACGAGATTCGAAACAAGTTGTCTAAAGAGGGAAGGCGTGCCAAAATATTTAAATGAGAAGTGTTCTTTCTTGGGTTTCGTGTTGCTAGTGATATTGTTAGTTATAAGCGCTCGAACTCAAAAGGCCATTGATGACTGGACTTTCTTTGAAGGATTTTACGCTTACTTCATCACATACACAACTGTCGGCTTTGGGGATCTGATCCCAGGGGAGAAACCAAGATCTGCAGGGCATACAGCTGTTCGAGTCATATTCATCATCCTTGGTTTGGCAGCCATGTCAAACGTCATCAATGCCCTGGTGAAATGTACCGAGTGCCTACGTTGGTTCACGAAATTGACAGCACGGTGTGGAAGAAATAAAAGGGTCGACAGACCCGTTGAAACGGAGGGAGGTGGTGAATTGGAGTTAAACGAACAAATCAAGTGAGATCTGACCAGTGTAGATTTTTGGATGCATATAAAATTTTGCCAGATTTGCCGGCAAAATGCTCTTGTCAGGGGGTATTGTAGTTGAGTAAGCGGTACGAAAGCGAGTGCAAAGAGTTGTAATAAGAGAGACTTGATAGGTAGTCGACAAAAGTGAGAAAGTTGCCATGATATGTAAAACAAATGTCTTAAACAAAATACAGTTGTGAAAGAAAGAATAAATGTTTCATATTTCGATGCTGTTAAGCAAGCTGTTAACATAAGTCGATCAGTTTTGATCAGTATCCGTATTAAAACCGATGGTGGCTGCCAATGGAACAAGAACATGGCGCAAGGAAATGTGGTAAATCCGTAACTCTCATCTCAGTTCATTAGAGACATTTTAAACTCTACCTTTCAAAAACACGAATTTACTACTAATAATAAATGTTCGTCAGGTGCAGGAAAAAAAATAACAATGTAACTTTCAATCGCTAATTTACATGAGATTAAAACTTGAATAATTTCGGCAATATGTATACAACTGTTTAGCCCCAGACCAGAAGTCGAAAACACTGTCTATTTCTGTCCGGATTGGGACTTAATCGACTTCTGGTTGTGGGCTAATCGGCTGCGGGTTAATCGACTTGGGGGCTAAACGACTTGCACTCAGCAGCAAGACAGTATCATAAACCAAGGACATATAAGCCTAACAGAAGAAATTAGGGCCTATTTATACACATTTTTACGGCTTTATGTACCAATTAGGCACGAAGAGAATTATGTATGTGTATGACGTCAACGTGATATGTAAGGAATAACCATTGTTTTCAACTTTAGACCAATAAATGATAAACTGAACACCAAAATAAAGAGAACGACGGCTTTTAACTATGTCAAGAGCAGCTGGTTTTCTGTTTAGCATTACATAAAAACAATCAACGGATTTATCGAAGAGAAAGAAAATTGAAGTAGATTATGGTAAACCAGGATTACAAGAGCAAACAGAGATATAAAATAAGAGGTTCTTGTTCAGTTCTTGTAGTACTTTTTTAATCGTGGTCTTTGTAAACTTTTGCTTCAGCTCTTTCTGAATCAATATATCAACAATGAAGATAAACAATGCATCACCTTCATTGTATGGTATAACACCTTGTACTGTGAAGCAGCCAAAACAATGGACGAATAACAAATCATGTTATACATTCATTACGTTGTGAATGAAGAATCTGCCCAGTTAGAGGCTGTTTTTCCGTAAAAACCAGCAAGACATCAGGCGAAAATAGAGTGCCAAAGGAGACGATTGACTTTATTGAAACAGATACTTTGAATGTTTCACATTTGCGCGGGGACAGCAGGTGCGCCAACATGAAAAACAAAAGAATATTACCTATTAGCAGTTGTCGTATTGTCATGATAACAAAATAACTGAGAGTAGAAAAGCTTCCAGCCCGTTAATCTGTGTTTGCATGCAAATCGCGTAAGCAGAGCACTCAGCAAAGGCAGATGGCTTCGAGCGGGAAGGCATACGCACTTTTGTATTTGTTTCTTCTCTGGCTAATTTATCTCACCATCGGCGTGTTCATATTCAAAGCTGTTGAGCATAATGGCGATAAAGAACAAGAGAACACCAAAGAAGAGCTCCTGGAGAAAGTCAAGCTCAATGTAACGACGAAGTACAACATGAGTCAAACCGAGTTTGACAGTCTTGTCCAGAAAGTCGAGGAAGCTTCGTCTTCGTCGTCAAATGCAGGGCCTGAATGGAGTTACATCCAGTCACTATCTTTTGTCATTCAACTTGTAACAACGATTGGTAAGCTAGTAAATTCTTAAACCGTGATAATCATGCTTCTCTCTAACTCTAATTAACCACTGACTATAATCCTGAGTTTGGGAATAACAATTGCATACTTTAATTTAACATCTCCAAATCTGATTTGCCTGTTTTTTCCCCCATATTTCTATATTTTATTTTTCCGTATTTTTCCATGTTTTATTTTTCTTTGAACTTGATAACATTGACTTGGAGTCGTCGTTCAACGTCGTTCAGTTGAACTATCGCTGATGATTTCATTCTCAAGTGTTTTGCAAAGCCTATTGTTTTTAGTAATCCTACTTGCTTATTTACATTCTGCATCTACTTATCATTAAAAACATTTTCTTAACTTGCTGCTACGCCGAAGAAATTTGAAAACGCAGCTTTATTTCTACGGTTTGGCCTACCGTCCACACCAATCCGTCACGAAAACGGAGCTTTTGGAAAACACTCTTCATACCGGTGAAATTTGAACGCGCCTGCTTTACGCGTTTTTGCGTGGACGGCGGAAAACATTTTGAAAACGGAGCTTTTCGAGCACGATGACATCACGATAATAATGTGATTACTCTGCCCGAGTCTTCCTCAACCACAAATCCAAAATGGCCGGTTATTGTTGCGTTTTCAAATTTCCCCGGCGTAGTGTGGACGGAAAACATTTGATTCGTTTTCAGAGTGAAAATGCCGTTTTCAAATTTTCTTCGGTGTAGGATTGACGGAGCCTTAGTCCAAAATGCTTATTAGGTCACGTTTCAAAAAAGCCTGCGATGAAATTAAACTCTCGCGTTTAACGTTGTCGTCATCGTTGGACATTGTAGGGGTGGATCCACGATTTTTGAAGGGGGAAGGGGTGGCTGGATGGTATCTTGGGGCTGCAGAATCAATGGAGCATGCTCCCAAAATGTTGCAATTTGAGAAATGGAACCTAATTGAAAACCGTTTCACCAGAAACACTAGCAATGCCACAAAGTAGAAATTATAATGAGGTATCCGTCCAGAGAGTTTGCCTTAATTTCTACCATAATAATCATAACCATTTTCAATTTTTTTTTTTGCTTCTCCAAAAGGGGGGTGTCTAGCCACCCAATCCCCTCATTGTATTGTAGCCCAGTTCAATCCAAAATTTGAGCTTTTAAAAATGCGTCGCGCAATTTTCTTGGCAAAATAAGCGACGATTTTCAAGCTTGACCAGGGTTCGTACTCTTTGAAGCTTTTAAAATTCCATGACTTTCCATAACCTTTTCCATGCCCTTTCCGAGTTTTCTGTGACCAAAGTCAAGCAGCTACTCTCACAGCAGTATCAAAACAATCATTCATTGCACGTATTTTCCAGCATTATAATGCATAAAATGTGTGTCTATTTCTACTGAAATTAAAGCCTGTTTCTTACTCGTCTGTAACTTTTTAATTTTTTTTTTTTTCATTTTCCCTTTTTATTTTCCGAAAGCATATTGCTTTTCCATGACTTTCCATGGCCTTCACTTAAATTCCATGACTTTCCAGGTTTTCCATGACCTGTACGAACTCCGTCGACGGTATCCCGAAATTGTGAAAAGGTGGACTTATTTCCTAGTTGGTTATCTGCTTCTATGTTTATTGATTTGTTTTTTAGGATATGGTAATATTACGCCAGTGACGACAGGCGGTAGAGTGCTTTGCATATTCTTCGCTTTGTTTGGCATACCCATCAACATTTTGTTCCTGCAGTTAATTGGAGAAAGAATGTTACGCGGCGAAAAATATCTCGTGACGAAATTCGAAACAAAGTGTCTGAAGAGGGAAGGCGTGCCACAATATTTAAATGAGAAGTGTTCTTTCCTCGGTGTTCTGTTGCTGGTGGTACTGTTGTTTGCGTGTGCTGGAATCCACACAGCGACTGACGGCTGGACATTTTTTGAGGGCTTTTATGCGTTCTTCATCACATTTACAACTGTTGGATTTGGTGACTTAATTCCGGGAACCGTGGACGGAAAGATGGAGGGAGTGAATACCGTGATTCAAGTCACGTTCATCGTCCTCGGCTTGGCGTCCATGTCGAATGTGATTAACGGGCTGGTGAACTGTTCCGAGGCGGGGAAATTGTTCAGGAAATTGACCGCGCGTTGTGGGAGAAGAGGAAGCGTAGAAGTTACAGATGAAACGAAGGAAGGTGGAGAAATGGAATTAAAATGAGAAATCAAGTAGATACCAAATGGAAGGTCTAGTTGGGAGTGCTGGAGTCTCAATTAATATATAGATTTAACCAAGCCTAAAAGCGGAGCTCCCATAAAAGAGTAACTCGATGCCCCAACATTTTATTCGTGGGTGGAGAGAGCAGGGACTACGGAGACCATTTTAAAGTGGTAGGGCTAGACAAACAAGCATTGGGGGTCTCTGTAGGGCTGTAGCCCTACTAGCCCCACGCCTCCACAGTCCCTGGAGAGGTAGGGTGAAAGCGAAGTGCCTCGCCCAAGAACAAAACGCAATGACCTCGGCCTGGGCTCAAACCCCGAGTCCTGACCTTCGCGTCTTTCCTGTTAATATAGGTGTGGTCAATTAAGTTCGGATTTCAGAAGAGAAACGGTCACTACACACAAAACGTTGCTATTTATCGCCATGTCTATTTAATGGTTACTTCTTGATTTCTAAAGAATGAGTTACAAACTACGCATACATCTTGTGCTGAAGGTTAAAACGCGACACCATATTAATTTAGCCTGCGCTTTTATGGGTGGCACGATGAAAAAAAAAGTGAGAGGCGAAGCTGTGAGAACAGGATTGGGTGCAGGTTACACTGATCATTAGAGTACATTTTCTCGATATTACATATGAAGTTCATAAGTCCATAAATCATTGCCGGTAGCACAAATCTTGTAGCCTGAATCAATACCTACTAGCTTCAGGACTTTATCAATCTATCAATTAATCCATATCGACCACATTTATCTTTAAAATTTTGTAGCCGGCCTAATAATTTACTAACCCACTCTCTATGAAAACTAGACTAACAACAGTTCTGCAATAGCATAAAACAATAAGATAAACAAAGAAACTAAGCGGGCATTGATTAGCCAACATGGTTACTATATTTGACAGTCATATTACACAATGCTTACGAGGCGTGGCCAAAATGGCTGTTTTTCTTGACCGACACAAATGTTGTGCATCCCATAACTGTTAAGGAAATAGGCCTATGTAAATACGCGCGCTGATTGGTTTAAAATC